TAGGACCAATCCTGTTCAAATTATTCATAAATGATCTGGAGAAAGGAGTAAACAGTGAGGTGGCAAAGTTTGCAGATAATACTAAACTGCTCAAGATAATTAAGACCAAAGCAGACTGTGAAGAACTTCATAAAGATCTCACAAAACTAAGTGACTGGGCAACAAAATGGCAAATGAAATTTAATGTGGATAAATGTAAAGTAATGCACATTGGAAAAAATAACCCCAACTATACATACAATATGATGGGGGCTAATTTAGCTACAACGAAAAAGATCTTGGAGTCATCGTGGATAGTTCTCTGAAGACGTCCACGCAGTGTGCAGAGGCAGTCAAAAAAGCAAACAGGATGTTAAGAATAATTAAAAAGGGGTTAGAAAATAAGACAGAAAATATCTTATTGCCCTTATATAAATCCATGGTATGCCCACATCTTGAATACTGCATACAGATGTGGTCTCCTCATCTCAAAAAAGATATACTGGCATTAGAAAAGGTTCAGAGAAGGGCAACTAAAATGATTAGGGGTTTGGAGCGGGTCCCATATAAGGAGAGATTAAAGAGGCTAGGACTTTTCAGCTTGGAAAAGAGGAGACTAAGGGGGGCTAGGATAGAGGTATATAAAATCATGAGTGGTGTGGAGAAATTGAATAAGGAAAAGTTATTTACTTGTTCCCATAATATAAGAACTAGGGCCACCAAATGAAATTAATGGGCAGCAGGTTTAAAACAAATAAAAGGAAGTTCTTCTTCACACCGCACAGTCAACCTGTGGAACTCCTTACCTGAGGAGGTTGTGAAGGCTAGGACTATAACAGGGTTTAAAAGAGAACTAGATAAATTCATGGAGGTTAAGTCCATTAATGGCTATTAGCCAGGATGGGTAAGGAATGGTGTCCCTAGCCTCTGTTTGTCAGAGGATGGAAATGGATGGCAGGAGAGAGATCAGTTGATCATTACCTGTTAGGTTCACTTCCTCTGGGACACCTGGCATTGGTCACTGTCGGTAGACAGGATACTGGGCTGGATGGACCTTTGGTCTGACCCACTATGGCCATTCTTATGTTCTGTGAAATACTCGATTTTGAGTTAGGGAGACAGCTTCTGGCCCTCGCATTTTCCTGGTTATATTTTCTTTGTGGCAGACAGGAAAAACGTAAAAGGTTTCTGATTCAGGTGGCTGAGGAGAATTGTAACTGCAACTCACATCATTCAGGTTTTTAGGCTGTAGCCGTGCCTTTATTCACGGTAGCCACTTCCTTGTAGTGCCTTACAGGGCAGGAATTATAAATTATAACTCCTTTCACACTTGACTACATACTGACTGTTACTTCAATCCTCACTCTACCTCTTCTGAAGTGAGTTTCCTTATCTCTGGAGTGTGCTGTAGTATTAATTCCACACTAACAGCCACTTAAACCAATCCAGGCTGTTTTAAGTAAAGCAAAATCTATTAAAAATAACAAGAAAATCACAAATAAAAAAAACTTTCTGTGGAACATGAACACAACTAGACTAAACACTGCAGAAAGCCACCATAGGACCACATGCGTAAAAGCTCTCGGTCTGGACTCTCAGTGCCCTCACTCTTGTATAGTGGAAGGATTGATCTGTTTTTCATCACAGTGCTGCTTCATTCTATATCCATGTCCATCATTGCTAGGACAAGGTTAGATAAAGTTATTGTTCCTATTCTGCACAAATTAAAGTCTCGCCCAGAATAATGATATTTGCAAATTACTGTGCACTTTTCAAACTTAAACTTTAAAAAGTTATTAGTATCAAAATAAGCGACATACATTCCGAATTTAACAACTGCAACTAAATCCTTCTGAGGTTTACCCACAATCAGAATACAGTGTCAGTCTTGATTATATATTTTAAACACTGAAAAATGGAATCTCCTTTTGTATTAAAATTTCTATCCACCTTTGTTGGAATCTATTGTAATATTAATTTATACAATTTTAGAAGTGTGTTTCTTTCTAATGTGCTGTAGCTATCAGGTGTAATAATGAAAAATCATGTGCAGTTCTAACCTTTCCATCAATTTTATAAAATATTTTAAAAGTACCCACTGTAAATATTACTTTTGAAAAATCCCAATACTGAATTTCATTATATACATTTTACACTGTCTGTAACTGGTAGAAGCTGTTAAAAATCACAAAGAGGATAAGAAACAAGTCCAGTAGAATCTAATCTGAATCCTAAACTGAAAACTCTGATTATCTGAAATTGCACCTGACATTAGTTTTTTTTCTGACGAGCATCAGTGTATTGAGAACTCTTCTGTACATCAAGACCCCTACTTATCCAGATAAACCAAGGCCTCTTGCTCAATTTGGAAAAATGTAGTCAGTAATCAAACAAGAAGGAGATTCATGCAATCTGCCCAGTTTTGTTCTTGTTTTCCTCAGGATCAACTCCTGATGTTGAAACTGTAGGAGTTTTACTACAATAGCTCAGAGTTTATTACCCTCTATGGATTACCCCTCATAAATCCAGTGAGCTTATTAAATACCTGTATCTGTGATTGTGACTCTCTAACCAAAAGTTCATGTGATCACAGTTGTACAAATATCAACAAACAAAACACTGTCCTCTTCACCTTCTGTATAATCCTCCAATCACAGCAAGGACAGTGCAGTGCAGGGGGGCAGAACAGTGCCAATTTACCACTTCAGTCCCACTTAATCCTAGGGTGACCAGATAGCAAGTGTGAAAAATCGGGACAGGGGGTAGGGAGGTAATAGGAGCCCATATAAAAAAAAGCCCCAAATATTGGGACTGTCCCTATAAAATCGGGACATCTGGTCACCCTACTTAATCCTCAAATACAGTTTAGGTAATTTATACTTGGCCCTCTGCACAGGGGTGAATTTCATCCTGTGAGCTTGGCACTTCTATTTGTCTATTAGCAGCCTCTTCCTGATCGGAGTTAATTCCCTGTTCTACATGTTCCAGACTTTTTCATACTCTTTCACCATTTTGCTTATAGACTGGTATATTTTTGCTTGTATTGCTGATTTGGGAGATTATAATTAGTTGGCTCTTTCCAGTTTCTTTAATTATATCTTCAAAGGAGGATTAATTCATTTCCTCAGATTTTTCAGATGTGGTTTATAGTTTTTACTGTGTTTTCCCATTTTAAGTTTGAGCTTGTGGGCTAACTTCACATCATCTCATTAGTATTTCTCTTCTTAGACCCCTATGGAGAAAAGCGTTAGCATTCATCTGCAAATTTCTGATGTTTATTTATAATTAACTTAGTTTGGTTTACCAACAAGTGTATAATTGGCATCAGTGCCTTAGTACCTTGTATCATACATTTAATCTGTTACAAATTACTAGTACAGTATCTTCTTGTAGAACTCCTGAGAGCCTCTCCATCAATTGGAGTTCGAGCCTTGGCTCCAGATAAACTTAACTCAGAGCAGGACTAGAGGGCAGGGGGATGCAAAGGTTGGGTGGACATCATCTTTACATCCCCCAACCCTGGAGCTGGCAGTGGGCCAGTTCAGTTATGGTACACATTTGAGCATCTTCAGAGATGCTCTATCTTACACTTGGCTTCCATCGCCCCCCAAGAAACCCTTTCAGCAGATGGGGATCAATGGAACTCAAGGATGCACCCAGGGCCGGCTCCAGGCACCAGCGAAGGAAGCAGGTGCCTGGGGTGGCCCATAGAAAGGGGCGGCAGTCCGTCCGTTGTTGGGGCGGCACGTCCGGGTCTTCGGCAGCAATTCGGCGGCGAGTCCTTCACTCCCTCTCTTTCTCTTCGGTGGCACTTCGGTGGCAGCTCAATCAGAGTTTTGTTTTGTTTTGTTTCTTCGCCGCTTGGGGCGGCAAAAAAGCTGGAGCCAGCCCTGGATGCACCTCTCACACCCTTTACTTTGGAGAGCAATGGAGCTAAAAAGGGCTGGCAATAATTTAGCTACCCTAGCTTTAGGCCGGATAGAGAGCCTATCATGCTGGAGCTTTGCACCAGCACAAAACAACCACAGTGAGGGCCCAGATCACTTAATACTACAATTTTTAGAGTATCACTTTAACATTAAAAAAATGACACTTCTTTAATTGGTTCATTTTCTAACTGAGCAATAAAACAGAGAAATTAATTTGCACTGAAGTTCCTAAGAGATGTGGAATCATATGGCAAACCGAATAAAGGATGTTATTTATTTATCAGGTTCAGTTGGCTGGCAGACAGTTGGTACTACACACAGCAGAATTTGGCCAGCATTCTGACAATCTCTGATCTTCCTAAAGGACCAATTCATCAAATCAGTCCACTTCAGTCACAGCTTAGCACCCACTAAAATAATGTCTGAGCCTCTTCCTTATACAAGGTGTCATTCAATTTGTTATAAGATATGGATTCTTAAGCCATGGTAGTATTAAATTAGTATTAAGGCCTTATCTAATTTCAACTTTGGGTCAAGCATTTTTTAAGCTGGATTGGCCGAAAAAATGTTTAACTTCCATTGTTAGTACTATGCACAATTCTGTTGATATACATATATGATATATATGCTAAATAATAATAATAACAAACTATGAAGCGAAGTAGAGGTGTAGGTCTTTCTCATTTTATTATACTTTGATTTTTTTCTGTGTATTTTCTTTGTTTTTCCCCATATCCATCAGGGGGAGTTAATACTAAAATATACAATCTACTGAGCTAAAGGCGCTTTTTAATTTAATCTTCTTCTACAATAGAATAATACCCCCTCACTTTTTAAAAAGGCAACAAGTCATTGAAAGGGAATTGTCTATTCAGATAACCCTCTTCTTGGACTAATTAAACCATATGCGAGGCATGTTGTTTCCAAGGTTCTTGATCCAAATGGGAGTCTTTCCAATGGCATTAGAGGACACTGTATGAGGCCCAAGAGCAGTGGGGCTGAATGATTTTAATTAGACATTTCAGTAAATTTTGAATGAAAATCCGCATTCCATATAAATAATCTAACCCTTTTTTTTATTACTGTTTTTAGTTAATGAAGGAGTTTCCTCTGCTAAGCATGTTCAACATCCATGAAAACCTGCTAGAAGCTCTGTTGGAGTTACAAGCATATGCAGATGTTCAGGCAGTTTTAGCAAAATATGATGGTAAGTCCAACTATATATGTGTATACATATTGTACACACACACCCCTATGTGAAATGAACACTGATATGTTTGTAAAGTAAAACGTTCAAAAGTTAGGAAATGCCAGAATGTAGGTTGCTTGTGCATCTTTAATTGGGATCCCTTGTGTATATGATACAGTCTTTAATTACATCATCACATACTGTATTTTCCACAGGACCCCTGTGTCATTCAGTGCACAGGTGGAACAGTGCTCTCTTAAGCACTGTTGGGCAGTTCTTCAATATTTTGTTTTCTCCTGTTTGTTCAATGTGTCACCCCAGGCCTTATTTACTGCAGACTATTGAAAACTCGCTTTGAAAACAGAATTAATAATTTCCCCATATATGTTCCTTGATGTTCATTACTACAGTATCTGAGTGCTTCACAAGCATGAATTAATTTATCTTTCCATCACTTCTGTGAGGTGAGGGAGTGGCATAATCCCCATTTTACAGACACCATGCTGAGGCACAGAGGGATTAAGGTAATTAAATTTCCACTACTTTTGGGTACCCAATTTGAAACATCTAGAACCTGATTTTTCAGAGTACATCATGTTACATAACACTTTCTATGTTCAAAGCACACCTCCCATTGTCTTCAGTTGCAGCTGTGAGTGCTCAGCACTTCTGCAAATCAGCCCCCAGCATGTCAAGTCAGGCACCCAGAAAATGAGGAATACAGTTAGTTGAGTACTTGTGAAAAGTTTGGTTTAAGTGACTTGCACAGCACCACACAGGCACTCTGTGGCAGAGGCAGGGTTAGAATCCAGTTTTCCAGGGCAACATTCAACTGCCTCAACAATGAGACAGTTCATCCTCTTCATGCAGTCCCCTGCCTCATTCACTACATGCCTTCCAATTAAAGAAAGGATGGTCCAATGATTGGGGCATTAGCCTAGGACTTGGGGCAATCAGGTTCAATTCCCTGCTCCAACACAGGTTTCCTGTGTGACCTTGGGCAAGTCATTTCATCAATCTGTGTCTCAGTTCCCCATCTATAAAATGGAGATAAATGCACTTCTCTACCTCACAGGGACATTGTGAGGGTAAATACATTAAAGATTTTCAGGCGCTCAGATACTACAGTGGTGGGGGCCATATAATAATAATACTACACACCTTCCAACATCTGCACCAAATGAAGCAGGGATCCCACAGACAACAGTCTCCTTTACTACACAACGCTGAGTCATTTCCAGAGCAGGTCCAGTCTGTGCACTGAATGGAAAAAATAGTATGTGATCATGTAATTAAAGACTGTGTCATAATGGATGTGCCCAAGAGGGCCAAATTCTGGCACCTCCTGAGTGCCTCTTGACTTTGCAACCGTAGCGACATTTTGTATGTAATTTCTTAAGTTTGTTTTTTCAGTTTTCTTTTTTATAAAAATTCCATCCTGTGACCTCATATTGAAACTCATATGGGTCAGCCTGGTTGGAACCTTAGAGTACCACACAGATCCGCTACACAGTCTTCTGTGTGGACAGCACTAGAGGGTGATGAGACACACTTTGCCAGTGGGTTTCACAGATATTTGCTAACAGCAAAAGAATGCTGAGACTCAGGACTCTTGGGTTCCATTCCAGTCTTGGCAGGGGAGTGTTCTGTAGTGGGTACAGAGCCTTTTACTTGTTCTCCCCAAACGTGCCCCCTTCTGCTCCATCCCCTCTGTTCCAGTCCTGTCTTTTCCTCATCCCTGACTGACTCTTCATCCCACTCCCATTCTTCTTCCTACCCAGCCTCAGACTTCACTCCTCAGATTTCTCATTCCAGTCCCAGGGTACGTCTATACTTACCTCCGGGTCCGGCGGTAAGCAATCGATCTTCTGGGATCGATTTATCGCGTCTTGTCTAGACGCAATAAATCGATCCCGAATCGATCCCGGAAGTGCTCGCCGTCGACGCCGGTACTCCTGCTCTGCGAGAGGAGTACGCGCAGTCGACGGGGGAGCCTGCCTGCCGCGTCTGGACCCGCGGTAAGTTCGAACTAAGGTACTTCGACTTCAGCTACATTATTCACGTAGCTGAAGTTGCGTATCTTAGTTCGAAGTGGGGAGTTAGTGTGGACCAGGCCCCAGTCTCCTTGCCAGTCAGTCCCAGTCCCTCCTCCCAGCTCCTCATCTGATATGTTTCTCCCCTTCCCAATCCTCATTAACCCCCAGTCCTAGTCTCCCTACGCAGGCTCTCAGTATCCCCTCCCTCCTTCCCTGGCTCCTTATCTCATTCTCTCCCCTTCCAGACCCTTTGTCCCTGTCTCTTTGCCCAGCCATTCTCAGTTCTCTCCTCCCCCTCCCGCATCCCATTGTCAGATCTGCTTTCCCACACACACTTTTTCCTAGTCTCAGTCTCCATAATTTAATAGTCCCTCAATCTCCTTGTCCAATCTCAATGTTTCCCCCTCCAGCCAGCTGGCTCCCAGTCCCCCACCATTTCTCTCACCAGCTCCCAGTCCTCCCTCCCACAACTCCCAGTCCCAGACTTCTTTCCCAACCAGTCCCAGCCTCCCTTCTCACCCCCGCTCTCCAGCTCCAAGTCCCAACCTTTCCAACCTCCCAATCCCCTTCTCCTTGCCCAGCGAATCCCATTTTCTCCCCTCCACAGTTTTCAGGCTCATCAGAGTTCTTATCACAGTCTATTCCTTTCCCTCTTCCCTGGGCTGGCTTTTGTCCCCTCTGCATTCAAATCAGATGGCTTCCTCCGCCACGTTACTTGGGCTGGGGGACCATTGAGAGCATAGGTGGAACAAGCTCCCTGCTCCCAGTTCCAGTGCTCAGACTCACCCAGTTTTCATGTAGCAGCTGTGAGGAGATGCAGCATACTCAGGCATTCTGCAGTCTGGGTCATATGAAGGATCTAAGAGGGGATGGAGCATACTCAGTTGCTCTGTGGAGATGTAGCATGTGCAGTCTGGTTAGCACTAGGGGCTGTGAGAGGCTCAAATATGCTCGCTCAGGATGGAACATTTGAAGAGTTTAGCTGCTGTAATTGAAGAAGACGCTACTGAGTATGTGCGAACAGTGAGTTTTCAAAGGATTATAACTTGGGCGAATTTTCACAGGGGCCACAAAAAATCACATCCCTGACACAAACGTAGGCTTAGAAGAATTATATTTTTATCAGTAAATGTCAATTTCACTGTACACACACAAAGTGACGAAAAATATTTCCGTCAATAATAATCCAAATGAACAGATGGGCAAAGTAAGAAAAATGCTGCTTGAGAACTTATTAGAGTTTGATTTAAGGATATTTACTTTGCATATTTTGACATGTGATGTTGACAATTTGCAGGTTAACTGTTATGAAGCTTTAACTCTTTGAATCTCAATGTCTGCTGTCATTAAATAATTATTGTCTGACCCTCGCACCCCTACGCCCAATGTCCCACAATTGTGGAAATGTAAATTGATAAAAATCATAAAAAATGCTCAAAACCCAAAATGTTGCACAACTGTGAAAATTTAAATGAACTCAAATTGAAAAAATAAGGATTAAAAATAAACATTGATATTCTCTGTCCAAATCATAAAAAAATAAAAATGGAATTCTGCCAAGCCTACACAAAAGCCCCCCTCCTGCCTAATGTCCCTGCTCTATAGCAGGGGGCACTAAAGCTATTCAAAGCAAAGGCTGCCTGAGGCAGACACCCAACTTGTAAAATTTCAACCCAAACGCTTAACTTCTGGCAAAGTTATAAGCCACTAAAAATAGGCTCTTATCATGGGAGGTGTCCGTCAACCATAATAAATAGACGAAGCTACCAGCCTTGACTATAATATGTGTGTTTTCAATGCTTAATCACCATCTTGCAGTTGAATCACTGTAAGCAGTGCTCAGAATGTCCCACCACTCTTTGAATGTCACACCACTGCACATCTAGTAGTACTAATTACCCTGGGAGAGGTTTTTATTGGGTATAATTTGGTTGGGAGCAGCGCAGTGGAAAAGAAACATCTACCAAAATGATAACCTTTTTACTCAAAGGTCTTTCTTTTGCTTTCCCCTCTTTCAGAAATTCCTATCACTCAGACATAGGCCCCATTACCACGGTATCTCAGCACCTTATACTCTTTAATGCATATGAGTAACCTTGTGGATTTTAAAGCACTTAGAAGAGTTGAGCTTGAAACTGAAAGCTGTTCTAAACCTGGCAGTCTGCTATAATTTATCCTCACAACACCCCTCTGAGGTAGGGAAGTCCTATTATTCCCATTACCATACTCAGGTCTGTGGCAGAACAGGGAATTCAACCAGAATCTCCCAAATCTCAGGCTAGCATTCTAACCACTGAGACGTCCTTCCTCTCTGTTCGTTCATACTAAGGGCCCAATCCTGGGCAGTGCTGAGCACTTCCCGAGTTGCAGTGTTTACCTTCAACTCTCCCTGAAGCCAGTAGGACTTGAGGGTGCCATCATCTTCTAGAAAACACTTGGCACATTCCAAAATTAGGCTGTAAGTTTAAAAGAAAAGTATATGTGGATGGTAAAAGCCTGTAGGGAAATTTGATGCGGACCCTTTCCCCGTCTGTGTGGACCCATACATTATACATATATAAAGGCATATGTGTATATTTAACACACGCACACAAGGACTCAGCAAGCAACAGTTTAACCAGCATAACTCTTAGAATTCATGAGTCTCTAAAGACCCTTTTTAGAGGAGTCTCAGCTCATTTTAGAACTCATCAGCTTTATGTGTTGTAAGATTTATTGGAACATAAAACAATGAACTCATTTATACTTCCCTATCTGCAGTTTCTATTGGTCCCATTCCACTGTCTTTATTCAGCTAAGACCAAACCTGATTTATTGTATTTTGATAACACATGAACAAATTATTTCCGAGAGCAGTCTCCCCCCCACCCCTGGCTAAAAACTTGGATTGCATTCTTTAAAATGTCAGTCTTTGTGAGGAGACATACTACTTTACCAATGACCATGTGTTGAATTTGTTTATATTATGTACCTGGCAACAGA